CATAGTACCTAAATGTTTTTAGTTCACGTATTGTTATGCCAGTGAATATTCGATGGGCTCTAAAAATGCAATTGTTAATAATTACATACTAGTTGTCAAATAATTGAGAAAACACGTTACCAAATTGATCTGGACAAAGGTCATGCTTAAATTAATTAAAAATCCACGAAATTTAAACGATGAAATCATGAAATTGATGGACATATACATTGCAGATTGGTCCAACTTTGCAAAATTTGAACTTCAATCCAACGATATGATTATTGAGAAGTTTCCATTTATTTATTGAGAAAAAACAATGTTTGATGTCTCCAATCCAACGATATGATTATTGCGTCAAGAAATTAAATCCCACTTCATATTGAGTAATTAGTTATACGTTTCAACTAATTTCTCAGAACAATTTGTTAAACATAATCCGTTGCTTCAAGTTTGAAAAAGTGACAGAAAAATCATAGTATTAGGTTTCTTAAGGTAGCAGCAAATTATGTGTGTTAGTTAGAGATCATATTCCCACCAAACCAGAATTTGAATAAAAATTGAGGCTGATTGTGTTCCTGAATTCAAATGATTGCTAAAGTAGTTAAAAAGTTTGAAACGACCAATTCTGTTTGCTTGGGTGGGAAAATTTTTTACAAGTAAACCACCAATGGTCCCGGCACGCACCCACTAATGCATTTCAAAAGCTTTTCGTTTTCATTCAAATTTTAAATCAATCACATATCGTGTGTGTCTTTCTGTTTCTATTACTGCTCCAACTTTAATTATAAAATTCTTACGTATATATAAAAAGATAAACGGACTCTTTTTTTTCGCATCATAAAATTTTATCCGTTAACATTTATATCTACTCTTAAATCATACGGACCCATTTTCTTGTATTACGTTACAAGTGATCTCGACTATCATATATAATTAATTAATTGAATTTTGAAGTTTCAATTCTAGAAGTCTTACTTTTTAAAAGTAGTCTAGATTTTTATACGCTGATTATTGTTTTCATATTTATTTTAAGCATTATAGGCTTCTAGAAGATGATGACTTGTTTGATAAATTCAATCTAGGTATTTGACGATTCGTTTGAATTTTATAGTGGACCGAACCACTTGTTCGAACTTTTTAGATTCTAATATCATATTAAAATTTGAAATAATTCAAGTCTATTAAGAAAAAACTTTTTTTGTCGATTATTTTCATGTTTAAACGGTATTAAAATGGCCAAGAAAGTTCCTTCGTCTTAAATGTGGAAGGGGAATGGAACTATCTTTATCCATCGAACTCGGTCACAATGCACCTAAAAGAAATTCTTAAAAATAAAAAAAAANTGCTCCGTCCATAAAAATATTAATTTATGCATTCAGATCTTAGTCTTCAAATTCTGGTTTGTCTTTTGTTCCAGATAAATAGATTTTTATTTTCTCATCCATTTAGACTTTGTCTGAAAAATAAATTTTCGCCATTTTTTTTTTTCTTGTCTTCACGTTCTAAAATTTCAGATCCAAAAATGGAGTTATCAATCTTAAATCGCGAGCAATTAAGGCATTGAACATGGGTTATGGATTATTACTTATTTGCTGCCAATATTAACAATTATTTTACATGTTGGTGCTCTTGTTAGGATTAATTTACTAAATTTCTTCGCCCTATACCCTAAGTTTAGATTTTACCATCCAATTACTAAGGAGTCGTTCTCTTTATATTTCAGTTTTTAGTTTTGAGTGTCCATTTTGAGATTGTTGAAAACGCGTTCTTTTTGTTATTTTGAAAAATTGTTTTCAAAAATAAAAAAAAATAAAGTTTTGGCTTGATTTTAACTGAAAACAGCAAAAAGGACTTTTTTGGTGTTTTTCGTTTTCTTTGTAAATTTTAAACTCATTTTTGAAATTCATTTCTGAAAATAGATAAGTAAACGTGTTTTCAGTATGTTTGAAAACTGAAAATTGAAAATGGCCTGAAAACAGTAAAGAGAACAAATCCTAAAATTTTGACACCTCAAAATTATAGAAGTTTATCTAAACACCTCTTTGAAACCTGAGCCATAAATAAATTTGTGAAAAATTTGATGTAAAACATTTTCATCTAACCTCACGTTGTTTGAAATTTGAAATTACTATTTCTAAAATACATTTTTTTCTTCTTATTTTCAATCACACATTTTTCAATAAAATAATATTACATACAAACCCAAATTTTTTTTTATTTTTTAACCACACATTTTTCATCAAAATACTATTTTAAAATACATTTTAAAAAAAAAGGCTCGAACATACTCTTAGTTTATCTTGTATTGGGTTAAACAATATTACGGGACCACATATGGGCTAAATCCGGCTACAACCACGTGCCAAAGTCACGCAGATGTAGCAAGCATCTACGTAATGCCATGTGGAATCAGTGGCTAAGGCCTCACTTGTTTAACTCCAAACCAAGCCATAATTAAATCAAGAAAAATTCTAATAATTCATTATCGTTTAATCTATTCAATTAAATAATTGATGTAGTAGACTCTATGTTTTATAATAACGTTTTTCATGGAATGATTGGAAATTTGTACAAACTAAAACTCGTAGTATTACGAAGAAATAATTCTAAATTCTTATATATATTTTTCATTTTGATTATTTTTGAACCTCGGATTTTAGTGGGAATTCATTGATGTCTAGGAAAATGTTTATTGTATCGACGGTCAAACTCATACACTATTGTCAATTTATTTTTTTTTTCTCACAACTACCCGCAATTTTTTTGCTTCCATCCATGTGAAAAAAACTTCAATTGTAATTTGTATAGTTCTTGCACATAAATTATATGACTTTTCATTTTTTTCTGTGTGATTGGGATACAATTCACCATCTTAAGGATATCTCAAGCTCAAAACTCCAATGCGATTAGAAAGATCAATCATTTACATGATTTAAATCACCTTATTTGGACTAACATCTTTCGATTCAAAACTCTGACATGTTTAGAACAATCTACCACTTACGTGAATTTGTTAGGTTCTGGACCTTGTAGTTGCTTGTCTTTGTTACTGAAAATGTCATGACAATAGCTTGGACGAATCTTAGATACAAATTACACTATATTTTTTTTTACATAGATTTTGAATAATTTCTTTACCAAAAGGCTGTTATTTTTTTATCATGAAATCAGTTTGCTTACTCATTTGGTCTCCTGAGTTTGATATAGCAACTTGGAATCTCATTGATCAAGTCAGACTATGCTCACTCTAAATCGATCCGTTCACTTACAATCATGCAATTCTTTGTCGATTGTAACAATTGTACATGATAAAAGAACTTGAAACAGGGCGAAACAATGTTATTTTGACTTCGAAGGGCTTTCTCCATCCGTGGCTTATATAATCATTGTCATAATGATTTGCTAGTATCTTTCCATCATCTGACTCAAGAAGTTCGAATATGTTCCATTCGAATATTCATTAGTCTTGATTTGACATGATTTACACGAAACCCCCTTAGCTCCGTCAGAAACTGCACCAATTGAACATGATAAAAAGTAAGAAAAGATACCGCTGATTGTAAAAGAAAACCTATAAGTCAATTATTCAAATAGATAGCATGTTAGACCAAATTGAAGACTTGGAAAATCTGCAAGAAAATTATAGTGTGACGCCGGCACCGACCACTAAACAGTAGGTGGATAAGGCAGTAAAATGTTGGTCAAAATATGTTGACTAGGATCACTGCATCATATGTCTGAACTTGGCTTCTCAAATACTCACATTGACTACCAAAGTAGATACAAATAGAGCAACTTTTGCTTTCACTGTTCGAGAAAGTGCAATCAAGACTACTGCACGTATCAACAACTGATATTCTGGTAAGATTCTGCCAGTGTGCGTGATTTTTCTCTGTATAATATTTGCAAATTCTAACTCTTTTTGTTTTGAAATAAATATTTACCTACTGCAAATTCTAATTCCTTTTGTTTTGAGCACGAGCCGAGCTTTTCACTTTGATGAGTCGAGCTCATGGGTAGATAAGTCGAGCCAGCTCGGTTCATTGCCACTACTACACACATCGTGCATAAAATATAGGGAAATTTGAAGTTGAGTTTTCAAATCTTCCAAAATAATGCGAATAGATCTCAAACTTTTAAATTTGTAGCACATATAGTTCAAACATTTCAAAAATATGCGGTAAAAGGACATCTAGACGGTTTCCCTTCAAAAATCCGTTACTTCCAAAATTCAAGCTTCTGACCATAATTTGACAGCAAATAATCTTTTAACCTTTAATTAATTTCAAAATATGCAACGCGGTCCAAATTTTTAATAAATATGTTCTTGAAGGACTTGTAACGATTTTAGTCAAAAAAAATCTGTTAGTTGACAATGAAATGAATTCCACAATTTTTTACCGCTTGATCAACTATCTCGATTTAATTAATTTTTTTCAAATAATACATATGATATATCATATATATTATAACATGATAATTTTTTGGATCAACCAATTTGATTGGAGGTCCAAAATAAAAATCAATCTTTTTCTAAATTAATTAATTAATGTGCGGACCCATCTTTGATTTGAAGAGGAAATGTCACGTAATTAGCAAATCATAGCTTGAACATCTCATCTCATCTCAGGATTCCGTGCAGTCAATTGCCGTTCATCCACTCACCAAACAAAGATGACTCGCAACTAGCCAATTCACTTCCAACCGGACCCCACGCCCCTCTTTTTTAACCCGCGGGGTTGGTTAATGTGAAAAATCAAAAAACCATGCCAATAAATAACCCTCAACCCCCTTTCTGTCTCTGGACTCTGGCGCTCACTCCTTTCAAGTTTCTCCTCTCTCTCTCTCTCTCTCTCTCTCTCTCGAGTCTCGCGTTGCCATTCTCTCCAGTGAGAGAAACTACTAAACAACACTCCTACATTTGCTCATACTTCTCTACCTATACATAGCTATACAATACACACACACAGAGTGTGTGTCTTGTGAAGTTGGTTTCTCCATCTAGTGTTCAGCCGGAAATGATGGTGTTAAGGCACGGAGGGGGAGGCGGAGGTTTTCTTGCCGGGAAACAGGTGGTTCCGGTGGACTATGAAGCGGAGGTCTCGCAGCGACTTTTAGAAGCGTCGCTGTCTAACGATCTCAAATCGGTATACGAGTGCCTCGCCGATCCGTTCGTTGACGTGAACTACGTTGGAGCTGTTTGTCTGAAGATTCGCAAGACCGAGCTGATTTTGCGCGAGGAATTGCCGTGCGAAGTTCGCGTCTATCGGGAGGAGTTTCGGACTGATGTTACGGCATTGTTTATCGCGGTTCACAACGGAAATGTGGTTCTCGCGAGGAAATTACTGGTACGTTGAGCTTGGGTGTTGATGTCATCTATACTATTGTGTTTTGTTGATTCTGATTCTTTCTCATTTTATCTTTCCGCAGCTTATCTGCATTTTGTCGATTTTAAACTGACTAGATATTCTCTCTGCGGTGTGTGATTGTATTGCATTTTTGGATTACTGAGATCTTGGTTTGTTCGTTTTCGCCATATTTTATACTTTTTACCCATTTCAGACTTTATTCAAATTTTGAAATTTGGTGAGTTAATGTTACCTCGTATTTGCACTTGTTGAATTGCCTTAATCGTTTAAATTTTGAACCGTAAGCTTTATATATGCTGCGTCATTACTGGCACCTTAAGGATCAGAAGTAATTTCCCCAAAGCTATGCTGCACCATCTACCTTATGCCAATTTGAGGCTTTTAGACGATTAACGGCCGAACTCTTCACTGTCTTTAGACTATTACTCTCGTCCTTCACCGCTTTGCTCTCTAAGTTGACTTGATAAATCTGATTCAAAAAAATTCATTGTGGATATCTATTTAATTTGCTACTGTAAACATTTTGCTTTGTTATTTGATCTATTGATATTTACAGTGCACCATGATTTATGTTTCACCTGATGCTCCTGAAAAACGTTTACTAAGTTGTTTTCATCTACATTTTGGAAGCCTCTTGCAATTTATTCACTATTTTTAATATTGTACCCAATTTTGTCTTTTATTGTTCGTATGCAACCTTTAGGATCCTAGATCTTGACCTTTGTTTATGGGACTCCATAACTCTATTCCAAAGTATGAACTAAATCTACTTTTCAAATTCTCTGTGTTGTGTTTTTTGATAGTGAGTTCGGAACTTTTGACTCTGTGAATATCTAATGGAGGCAGGAAGAGATGACTTGTTCTCATTACTGCTGAGTTATTTGCTGAACCAACTTCTCTGTGTTTTTTTCAAATACACGTGCACTTCAGTGAAAAAAAATTCAATGCAAGTTACAGCTTTTTTTTTCGTCTTTCTTTAGTACCTGATTGCTGTTGTTTCCCTTTTCTTCCATTTAAACGATTTCTGGTGTTTCCCTTGAGTCTTTACCCCACGATGTTGGTAATCTAATTTTATTATTATTATTATTTTTTTAACGCTGGTTTTCCTTGATACACTGAATTTTCTATAAACTGTGTTATCGCAAAGGCGAGTGTCTAAGAGCTCAAATTTGCATTATTGGAGTGAATTTAGGTGATATCTCTCTTTCTCTATATTATTAACTAATTTGTTTCGGTTATGGGCTCTAAAAGGAATCAGAAGCCCCCTTCGACAAGCTTGCCAAAACCAAAAATCAAAAAGAAATAAAAGAAACAGGGGATGCGAATGAGTTCTCTCTCTCTCTCTCTCTTTCAGTGACAGCCCATGTACTATTTATGATGATTCTACACCTCATTGTCTATAGCAGAAGGTTGTCATTCATTCTGTCTGTATGTGGCCAACATCCCCTGCACTGATTAAGAATCCAATGATAAATGTCTCCCATCTCTTACAATCTCTGCAATCGTTTGTTGAACCAAATTATATTTTGAGTCAATAATGGATGGTATTATGTCTTCTTCCCGAGATTTTGTCCTTTCCTAATCTGCAATGACTTACAATTTTTTGGTGTTTTCCTGAACTGGCAGAGTGTCGGAGCTGACGTCAACCTGCAACTGTTTAGGGGATTTGCAATAACAGCAGCTGTGAGGGAGGGTCACCTTGAGATCCTAGAGATCTTACTTAAGGCTGGGGCATCTCAGCCAGCTTGTGAGGAAGCACTGCTAGAGGCTAGCATCCATGGGTGTGTCAAATTCGCGGAGATGCTTATGGGATCTGATCTTATTCGACCCCATATTGCCATTCATGCTCTTGTCATTGCATCCTGTAGAGGTTTTGTGGACTTGGTGGATGCTCTCTTGAAGGTAAAACTGTATTCCATGTGGCCCATGTGAACTGTTGCATGGAGTGTTTGCTATTGATGACTGATGCAACTTGAGCAATTATTTATTTTTGGAAAACATAAAATCGATATATTAACAACAGCAACGAAAAGTTCTGAACCAAATAAATTTGGAGTTGGCCAAATGAATCATTTTTCATTATGTTCAATTCACTGTTAAACTAACAAGAAATCCAATGAAATCAAATCTCTGCTACCATATCACCTCCATTCTAATATTAGAGTACAATGAAAAAAGACCTCCACTGCTAAGCTTGACTAATTGGTTGGTTTAAGTATGCAGTGCAATTGATTTGTACTTTTATTTTTCTAATACCGGGGCAGACTATATATGGCTAACTTGATACTTGGCCACGTGTTTCAATTTAATATCATTTGCAGACTATTGTGCTCTCATAGAGCCTTGAGCACATTTTTTTGTCATATTGATCTACTTGTTGTGTAATGCCAGTGTGGAGTGGATATGAATGCAACAGATCGTTTCTTGCTTCAATCATGTAAGCCTTGTCTGCATACGAATGTTGACTGTACTGCACTAGTGGCTGCTGTTGTCAGTAGGCAGATTTCTTCTGTTCGTCTTCTGCTGGGGGTGAGTAACTTTATACTCAAATAACATCAATATCAAATTATGCCTTCAGGAAAAATTCATATTTCATCTCGCTGAGTTTCCAAACTGTCGAATAAGATGCTGGAATATCAACTTCAGAACATTGATAAATGAAAAACAGAACAGGAACAAGAAGATGTATCCAATGTACCAAAAACATACTGGTTATGGACAAAATATACCATCTTCTTGTGTTCATAGATACTAACGGTGCAACAAATTAAATTAGATTGCATTTTGAACTTGGTATGCATAATTAACTAGATTGCATTTTTAGTACTAGAGTAATGACAGGCATCTCATGAGTGATTTTGCTTCTATAGACACTAGTTTACACCTCATCTGATTTATATTCTCTTACACAGTGACAAACTTTTTTGCTTTTCTTTTTGAGCTTGGTTACTGACATTGGATGTTTTTTCTTCATTCAAATTTAAAAAACAGGGTTGGTGTTAGAACTGATGTCAAAGTGCAACTTGGAGCATGGTCGTGGGATATGGCTTCATGTGAGGAATTTAGAGTAGGTGCAGGACTAGCAGAACCTTTCCCATTACTTGGTGTGCTGTGGAATATTTTGAATCAACTGGTGCTATCTTGCACTTGCTCCTCCAATATATCTCCCCCAACACTCCTCACTATGGAAGAACTCTACTCCACCATGCCATTCTCTGTGGCAATGTAGGAGCCACCAAGGTGCTTCTGAAATGTGGTGCTCACATAGAGACCCCAGTCAAAACCACTAGAAACAATCAGTTTCGTCCAATACATATGGCTTCCCGTCTTGGAATGACAGAGATTCTTCAGTGTTTAATTGATTCTGGCTGTGATCTGAATTCAAAAACAGAGATTGGTGAAACAGCTTTAATGATCTGTGTCAAATACAAGCAGGAAGAGTGCCTTAAAGTATTGGCCAGGGAAGGTGCTGATTTTGGATTGGTTAATTTAAGTGGCCAACCTGCAAGTTCTATTGCTGGGTCCTGTGGGTGGTATCTTGGCTTTCAACAAGCATTGCTTGATGTGATTCGAAATGGGACAGTGCCCACATCCAGCAACAGTGTATTTTCACCTCTACTATTTGTAGCTCAATCAGGAGATGTTGTAGGCTTGAAAGCCCTGATTGGACAGGGAGACATTGACCTTGATAAGCAGGATGACAGAGGTTTCTCTGCGGTTATGGTTACAGCGAAGGAGGGTCATATTGATGCATTCCGATTGCTTGTTTATGCTGGGGCTGATGTAAAGCTCTGTAATAAGTCTGGTGAAACTGCTATTACACTGTCTAAACTGAGTCCAAATAGAGATCTCTTTGAAAAGGTGATGCTTGAGTTTGCTCTTGAAAAGGGAAATCGCATTGCTGGAGGATTTTATGCCTTGCACTGTGCAGCTCGCCGGGGGGATTTGGACGCGGTCAGGTTGTTGACAAGTAAGGGTTATGATGTCAATGCTTCTGATGGGGATGGCTACACACCCCTCATGCTGGCAGCGAGGGAGGGCCATGGGAGCACGTGTGAGTTCCTGATCTCTTTTGGAGCTCAATGTGACATAAAAAATGCTAGAGGCGAAACTGCATTATCACTTGCGAAAAATAATGAACGGCAGAATGATGCTGAGAATGTGATCCTAAATGCGCTAGCACGCAAGCTAGTGCTTGGTGGTTCGCCTGTGCGAAAGCACACCAAGGGAGGGAAAGGAGCTCCACATGCAAAAATTGTGCAAATGGTGGGACATACTGGAGTTTTACGTTGGGGAAACTCAAGGCGTCGCAATGTCATATGCCGCGAGGCAGAAATAGGACCAAGTTTATGCTTTCAGAGAAATAGGCAGAGGAAAGGTGATGCCATTGAACCTGGAATTTTTCGAGTGAAGACAACAAAAGACAAGGAAGTGCATTTTGTGTGTGAGGGTGGGGTTGAAATGGCAGAGTTGTGGGTGCGTGGAATAAGGATTGTGACAAGAGAGGCTATTTTAGTTAATTAGACAGACCTTATAGTGCTGAAGAAGCTTCTAGGATGTACAGATATGTAGCAGTACCTCATCTCGAAGTACTTGGAATTGTTACTTTTCGATGGAAAGGTTTTGATTGCCTTAGTTGTAAATTTATTCTGAAGAAAAAGACAATTGAGAGATTATTCATTCTGGTAGGACCAATCTCGGTCTCATTTCTTTATTATGATTCATTAATTATTGTGTAAAATTTAGACCGGAGCGGGGAGGGCGAAAGGATAGTACCCAAACAGAGGCACTCGTCTGGCAATTCAAGTCAGAGCCCAGCCAAGACGCATTGATGAGAATATCATTTCTTCAAGATTGCCAATCTTCAACTCACCATCCATTAATGTTCTTGATACTCATAAAAGCGTAATGCTTAATGCCATAATTTCATTGGTCAAACAAAAAAAGAAATTAACTATTTTTTCTTATGAGTAAGAAAAAATTAAAGTAATTTGTTACATCTAACTATCGAGGCTCAAATTGAAGTCCACGTGAAACTCAATCAGAAGCACAACCAAAGGCGCACACACCACATCACCAAAGTGGTGAAGCGAAGGCCCCAGCCAAAGTGGTTACAACTTCAACCTAAGTGAAGATGGCTCTATCTACAAATACTCAGAGATGGGTTTAATATATAACTTTATTTGAAGCTTAACACACAAAGTCGAAGTCCATATTGTGGAAGTGGATACCTCGTAGCCATAGAAGAGCATCCACCAAGAACATCTCCCAAGAGATCTTCTAAGTAAGGATTAGGTGAAAGTGATTGACGTGACATCTTGTAGCAAATAAATGTTTTAAGTTCAGTCAGCCTATTATCTAGACATACAGATTTAGACGATAGAGTGGCTACTTTTCATAAAACATTAAATGCCACATTTCTCATGACCTTGGAGGTGACGCCTATGATGGGATGCTTCGGCTATTATCATGAAGCCACACACTTTTTCATCCAACGACTACCACTTCATATTTACTATTATAAAAGGTCACAGATAATGCAAATATAAACACCACAAGCTTTGCAAGATCTTTGCTTTCTCTCGTTTTATACTTTCATACATACATTTCGTGCTCGAACACTTGAATAGCTCACATCTAAAGCACGTAGAACACCCAAATTTAAACACTCCATTGATTTGATCGTTGGAAATTATGTGACTATCTCCACCGTTGGAGAAGGCCACATGTGACTAGCGATTTGTCTAAGTGTGTAGACATAAGCTTGTAAGGACATGAGTAAAGTCAATATATATTGTCCACATCATCGGTACAGAAAAGAAATCATAATTTATAAGCATGATAGAACATGCTTATTTTGAAATTTTACTTAAAAGTTTAATTAAAGACAATCACAAAGATCCTCCATTTAAGACTTAATCGAGTAAAAAACATATAAAGTCCCTTTTTGTGAGAATTGTAATCTCTCACGAAATTACGTCATTGTGAGTGAATTGAAAATAAAATTGAAGCTTCATTTCTAAGTTCAAGTAAGAGAATTGTAAAAGTAAAGTATTTGTTAAAAATTAAATTTCTAATAAATATTATATCCAAATTTTCAATAACTAATCAATTTACATCTCAAATTCCTTCAAAACAACTCTTTAATTCCCCTTTGATGGAAAAATAAAATAAATTTGAAAGAAGAAAGATTTGTAACGGCAAACAAACAAATAAAGGAGAGACTGAGCAACCGCGTTTCTAAGCTGTAAAACGGGCTTGCGACTTTAGTTTGGACCGGAGAAGTTTTGTCCCCAGTGGCTGATGTTAACAAGATGACATATCCCAATCTATTTTATGCTTCAAAACTCCATACTCCCATAGACTCCATTATTTTTCCAGATATTTCTCACTGGCCCAAAAGAATTGAGCAAAATGAAAGCCTCCATTTTTATTAGACCTACAGGACTTCTATTTGTTTCAAGAAAAACCTTTCCCCACCCAAGGTACGCTCTTTTTAATTTCGTTTTCAGGGTTATTTTTTACTTGACATAATCTTGTTTTGTTAAACAAATCTAATGTAACTAGCGTTTTTAATGCATTATGTTCGGCCAAAGTGTGTTGTTTCCTCATTCTTGTTCCCTGAAAGCAAAGGAAAGTTCTAGTAATTGTTGGGTACTGCCATCTGATGACAAATAGTTCATTTGGTAGACAATGGAAATCGAAAGCCAATTGGAAATGTATTGTTCGGTGGCATGTAATCCTTTGCTTATATGCTAATGAAACAGCACAGCCCATATAACAATACTTTAAATTATTGTTTAGGGATTCAAATTCTGCTTTTTTTTGTTTTAATTGAACACATTGCTTGCGGGAATGGACTAGGGCTGTACAACTAGAAGGCTCATTTCTTGGCGGAAAAGGAAGTACTACGATCGGTTGAACTTTTTTCTATTTATTTTTTGCAAATGCCAATCAAAGATAAGGAAGGGTTTTTAGGCCTTCTTGCCTTACCTGATTTGGGAAGTTTGGTTTTCTCCCTACCCAAGTTTTATTCATTTGAAAATCAATACGATGGACCTAGTCCTTGCCTCAGTGGAGTTTACGACAGAAACCAGAAAGAAACTAAGCTTAGTACAAGAACATTTACAAGTGAATCTATACTAATTATTGAGAAAAAGACTCTTTCAATCTCAAACTAGACAAGCTCCATTGGTCAAGCCATAGTAGTCCCAAGATTTCTCCAGCCAGATCTCGAGGAAGTAGTATCTTGGAGTTCATCTCTTTATATTCGGTATTAGCTAACCAATCTGCCACTAAATTCCCTTCTCTCTAAATGTGAGTAAAGGTAACATCAAATTGCCGTTGCTAATGATTTATGTGCTCCTGATGATATTTTGCATGCCAAGAGACGGGTATATCTTTAGTTATAAGTTGAATAGCAGCCTGTGAATCTACTTCAACCCGAACTTTTGTAATATTAACCTCAATCCAGTGCTCAACTCTTTAATTTCAGCATCTAGACGGGAACAAGAGCCAAAAATACTTATAATAGCAATAATCAATTCACCCTTGCTGTCTCGAGTGATCCCTTCACCAGCGGCCAAGTTTAATTTGCCTTTAGACAACCATAAGAACTGAGTTGAAAAGTTCCAGCATTGGGTTCCTCCAATAAATCACTTCTGGCTGTTTCTGAAAGTGGATTTCTGCTTATGCAATTTTGAACTTGTTTTATCTTTCTTTTTCAGTTTCATTCTGATATACCATGCATTGATTTTAATAACATTGTACAAATATATCTTTTCTTTCCTTTTCCCATTAAATTCTACCAAGTTTTTAATATAAGAAGAAATGCATAGTAGCAATTGAACAATACCATCAACTAAAAAATGAATACAAATAAAAAAGGATAAGTCATTGTACATCTAAACTGTGATGATGGACATTATATTTGCTACACTATACTCCGCTTTATGCTAAAATGGAAAACAGAGATAACCTATTAATGATACAAATATATATCATTTGCTTGTGTAAAATTGCATGAACAAATGATAAAAAGGAAAAAGAGAATAGAATTGGTAGGTGAAGAACTTTGCATAAAAATTGAGGCATCAGCTGCACTGTAATTATGTCTGAACTGAACTGCTTCTGTCACTTAGGTGCATTATTTTGGAAGTATCGCCTTCTTAAGTGCAACTTCAGTTTATACTGGTATGTCAGCTTGACATATAGCCAAAAATTGAAGAACTATATCTATTTTATGGCCCCTAGTGATTCCACTCCAGTGCCCAAAACCCTTTAAGCTTCTAGTTTCGATCAGATGTTTCTGAATTTCACGCTTACAAACCATTTACGACACACGTTAAACGCCTAAAATATTCAACTACCCAAAAATAATTATAGAAGAAAGGCCTCCATGCTTTTTAATACCATCAGGACTCCTTTTCTCTGAATAACTAATTTTCCCACTAAGGTAATTCCCCTTTTTCCTTTATGAAGATTATTTTTCTTCCCGTTACAAGGAACTATTTTTTCCTGCGTGTGTTTAATTGGGCACAAATCTTATAGAACTTTTTTTATTGTATTTTTTGTGTTTTTCTTTGTGCTCATCTTTTATGGGAGTCTCTATTTACATCCATCATTGTTATATATATATATCCCACTCTATATATCCCTATTAAAATAAAAATAAATAAAAAATATTATTTTCGTCTACATCGCATTCCAATATTGTCCTTATTAAATTTATTCATACACTGTACATCCACACCATTTTCATATATGTATCCCATCATAATTTCATCAATCCTTTCATATATCTATTCACACCATTTTTATATCTACACATCATAATTCCTTCATATTTTCAATCATTTCCATCAATATGCACCATCAAATTTCTTTAGTTGTTTTGATAATCCCGGCAAATTAGCCACCATTGTTTTGAATTCAAGTCTGTACATATAACAATGGTGGATTTAAATAGCGGCTTCCTTTTTTATTCTTGAATGCAATGTAAAGTTCTAATGATTGTGTCATGGTTTCCATTGTATGTTATGGGGCTTGTCCCACATCTAAAGTATGGGCTTTGGGTGTGTGATTTATAACCCATTGGACACCCTCCCCTTGATAGCTAGCTTTTGAGGGTTAGTTCTACCCAAGAGGTTGTAACAATGGTATCAGAGCAGGCATCACGTCTCCCGATTGCAATCGAGCTGCGCGGATGGTGACGCCGGCATAGCAGTGTTCATCCAGGACTAGTGTAAAGCCAGTTTGACGTGGGCGCGGGGATCATAGAGCGTGGTGGTTTGTCATGGTTTCCATTGTAAGTTATGGGGCTTGTCCCACATCGAAAGTATGGACTTTGGATGTGTGATTTATAACCCCTTGGGCACCCTCCCCTTGATAACTAGCTTTTGAGGGTGAGTTCTACCCAAGAGGTTGTAACATTTGTTGAATGGAATGATTATTGAGTGCTTCCATTCATGGCTGATAATTTTTGTTGGACAATTTATTTGATGGTTGAAGAGTTGATTTGTATTATCATGGTGAAATCTTAGAAATTTTACAGTTCTATTAACACAGGACTTGATTGATGACTTCCAGTCTTCCACTCACAAGAGAAAAAAAAGGTTGCCTTCAACTATGGATCCGTAACGTTTACATACCATAGAACCCAAAAAAAAAAAATGAAGAAAAAAAATGAAAGAAAAAGTGAATTTTTTTTCAAAAGTCAGATGATTTGCTCTCAGCTACAGAAGCAGACTGTTCACAGTCTCAAGAAAAGATATTTTTTCAAAGAAAATATATGAAAAAATGCAGCCCCCTCAAACTTTACTTTAAACCCTTGTTTGTGGCTGAAAATTCCATGACATTTGATTACGATCGCCTTGTCTCCTTTGGCATTGGCGATTTGCACCTTAACCGTCAAATTAGGGGCGTGAAATTGAATTAGAGCAGCTCCATACTAATATGTAATCTACCAGCCTTGAGGTTCATAGCTGTTGACCTGGAAGAAATATTAACTAGCCTAATTTCAGTTTAATATGAAATTTTCCAAGTTGTGAACTATTTATAAGAACCAGCAATCACAAAATAGCAGTCTGATACGTAATCCTCATTTGAGCCCCTTTTTGTAATGAAAATTTATTTTGGAATAGAGTTTTTTGGAGAATGTGTGGATATTGGTTAGAAAATAAGGAAAAATTTTGGGCTTACGTGTAAAATTGTTTTATGGGAGAATGTGTAGTTGAAAATGAGTTTTGGAAAAATAGGGGATAAACATAGGCATAATACTAATATATTATCTTATATCTAACTTCGTGCCAATGAATATATGCAGGACTAGAGTCTCTTTCCCCCAGAAGGTTTTCTTTTTCCAAGCAAAGTACAGTAAGCTATTACAACTCTTAATTTACCCAATATGCATGCATATTGTTTTACCATTTTTCCCAAAATAATATTGTTGGATTTTTCTTGATTGATTGACAGGTGGTTCTGGAGTTGATGGAAAATTCAGCTTTAGGGTGGTCCCTCCGACCTTGTTGGCTGCAGAAAAGGAAGAAGCCAAGGCTGTACTAACCTTGTTTTTGAAAAAACAAGGTTTAAGTAATGTGGTGGCAGCGAGAACTATCAATAAGTCTGATGCTTTTGTTGATCATCTAGTGTCACGGCTCCATTCTGTTCACAAGTCTCGCTACTTAGTAGGTTTGGTTTCTAATTTTGCTTCTCCCCCTATAGAACACTTGAAAGCAATAACTTTCCTTCGAATTCCATTGTCACAAAGCTTTCTTGGCATTGCAGGTCGGGAACTTTCGACTCTTGAGATCCGGGAAGCTCTCATTCCGTACCTCGAGACACTATTTGAGGAGTACGGGGGCATTTTGGTAGATGCTGTCGAAAAATTTTCAAATCCACCTGTTGAGGAAAAATCAGAAGAAAATGTTCAAAAACAAACTGTAATAGAAACTTCAGCTGCATCTGTTTCTACTTCCATTGCTTCATCTGACTCGAGGAAGCTAAGAGCCTTGGCTCGAGTTAGTGACATTTGCCCAACTGGGAAGCTTCCTTCACATGTTGTCTACCTTGTAGATCTTGGCATGGAACTTGAGGCAATCAGGGAAGTGATACGCAAGTTCCCAGCTTTTGCCTACTATAGTTTGGAGGGGAAAATCAAGCCAGTTGTTGAATTTCTTCTTGATCTAGGTGTGCCGAAATCAGACATTCCCACCATCCTAACTAAAAGGCCTCAGCTTTGTGGAATTAGTCTAACTGAAAATCTGATCCCCACCATGGAATTTCTTGAGGATTTAGGTGTGGATAAAAGACAATGGGCAAAAGTTATCTATCGCTTTCCACCACTTCTCACTTACAGCAGACAAAAACTAAAAGCAACTGTGGATTTTCTCTACGAGATGGGACTCTCAGCCGAGAATGTGGGTAAGGTTCTTACACGCTGCCCAAATATTATAAGTTACAGTGTGGAGGATAAGTTACGACCAACTGCTGAGTATTTCCGTTCATTGGAGGTTGATGTTGCTGTTCTTCTTCATCGATCTCCTCAAACTTTTGGTCTTAGCATTGAGGCTAATTTGAAGCCCATGACAGAATTTTTCCTCGAAAGGGGGTATAGTTTGAGGGATGTTGCAACTATGATCTCAAGATACGGAGCATTGTATACTTTTAGCTTGCCAGATAACTTGATATCGAAATGGGAGTTTTTCTTAACCATGGTTTATCCAAGATCTGAGTTAGTTAAGTTTCCACAGTATTTTGGTTACAGTTTAGAAGACAGGATCAAACCTCGATATGAAATTATTAGAAAATGTGGAGTCAAATTACTATTGAATCAGATGTTATCTCTCTCAGAAGAAAACTTCCATAAACTTCTGAAGAAAAAAATGGAGAAAATGCTTGATGATTAACTTCTATGAATTGTATGTAGTAGATACAGTTCAATAATAAAGAGTGTAGTATGTGTTAGTTGAAGATGAGAACTTGAACCAATTTCAGTTTGATATCACGTTCCCTCTTGTAATGAATATTAGCAGGTTTTAAGACAGCCAAGTATTTGGATGATTTATGTTATGTATAGGCTGGAGAACGATATGGATATTCAATTGCTGAAGGATTTTGGTCTACATACTTTCAGTAATTAAGATTTGTGATATTTTCTCTTGTATATATAGATACAAGAATAGGGATAAGTTGAAGCGTAGTTATTTAGATAAATCAGTACACACGACTTGATTTTGAAGTGTCCATGTCGGATAACTTTACAAATGCTCTACTCAGTGGCGGACCCAGCATCAAAGTCCAGCCCGGGCGGACGTTGACCAGTCAACACCGTCGACAATCAGCGATCGTAAAAGCGAGGTCATTTATTAATATTTAATTATATAATATTAAAAATTATTCAATATATATGAAAATACGCTAAAACGTAAAAATTATATATATAATCTACAATTGCAAGTGTGCAACATAAATCAATGAACTCGTTCAACTGAAATACATCTACTTTTATTATTAAAGTTTCACATCATAAAAACAGGCAGAAACCTATATTTAACCTCCTATTTGTCAAATAGAGGAGAAGGGATGTAATAGATGGTCAACATTAATTTCAATAAGAAAAGCAAACTAATATACACTAAATTTAGACGTTCGAATTATATAAAGCAAAACTTTGTAGCCTAAAAAACAGTTTCATTAATGAAATACTATTGGAGGATAGTTATACCTCCTTTCAAAACTAGCAATCCTTTCTTAATTTCAGATGTTTATAGACTTAATCCAAAAGAAATAAAAGACTACACACATAATCTCTACCATTTCAGCGAATATAAATTTCCTGTTAGGATGCTGGCGCAAATTGCAATGACATAACAACCGAGTCCAAAACATTTTCCACACATGCACCCTGAATTCCAATTCCAAATTCCAATTCTAAATTCAATTC